GCTCTGGCTGTCCTTGAACTCACTATGAAGACTATTCTGGTCTTGAACTCACAGAGATTTGCATGCCTTTTCCTCCTGAGTGCTAGGGTTAAAGGCATGGTTGACCATGCCCAGTTTTCAGTGTTTGACTTGAACATATCCAAATATACATGTTCCTCAACCTAGGACGCATGTGACAAAAAGCCTATTGCAAATCGAAAACATCACGGTAAAATTGTGCTTAACGCACTTAATCCACTCAGCATCAGAGCTTAGCCTGGCCTACCTTCAAAGTGCTCAGAGCATTATGTCAGCCTACAGTGAGGTAGTGCCACCTACAAATTCCCGGTTTTATAATAAAGTGTGACTACCTCATGCAATTTGTTGAATGTCTGTATTCAGAGATCACTGGAAGTTACTGGACACTGGAGAGGATGAGTTGTTTACTCTCCTGGCTGTATGGCTGGCACTGTAGCTCATCCTTTCTACCCTCATTACAAGAAAGGTTCATAGCATGTCAGTATTCAGGGAAAGATCAAATTAAAAATCTAAAATACAATTTTGTTGAATGCTATTGGCTCCCAGAAATTGAAACACTGTAAATTTAACTACACTGAAATTTAGATTGTTGTTGTCAACATTTTTTACTGTGGAACTCAGGATTTCATTCTTTCCACATAGAGATCATTAAGTCATCATGCTTTTAATTGTTGCTTTGATGTATTCAGTTTGTTACTTACCATTTAAAAAATATGCTATCAAATATATCTCAATAGTTTGTCTATTGGTCAGTCATTTTTAAATTAAGGTGTGATTATGTAGTGATCAATTTTCAGCCATTGGTTTCTTATTTCAAACACATTACTAGGTATTGAAGGTATATTAAATTATATAGGACCATATAAGACATTATAAAATAAACAATTCATAACTGCTTAGCTGGAGGTATGTCACTACAATTATGTCTGTTCCAGTATGCATTGGAGCACATTTTCAATGCACATTGAGTTAAAACAAGAACGACATATTGAACTGACACTGGGTGGCCTTAAGATCTAGGTAGAAATCAAATTCTACAACTTCGTCAAAATTTAGACTCTTTGAATTCCATTTCTTCTCTTACAAAGAAGACATATTAATCTACTGTTATTAGACTTGGCATGAGTCGAACATGGAATACATGTCGCTAATGATTAAGTTTGATTTTCCAACTTATCTCCTTCAATGTGCCTTCTCTTCTTTGTTACATTGAGTAAAATGTATTTCTATGCTCTTTCTTTTTTGGGAATCTTCGTTATTGTTATAGAAGTTATCATATTTGTTTCCTTTCTCTTCTCTCTCTAGCTCCATCCTAAAAACTGAGAAACTATAATCAAATTTTTTCATCTCTGTATTTTCAGAGCATCATACACTGACAGGTACAAGAAAAGTGCTTTCACTTTTCTGAATTAATAATTAACAACAACACCAATAAAACATCAGTTGAATCCCCTTCATCATTTCCTGAAGATTAATCCAACTCTTTAAGAATTGTCTTATTTACAAAATATATTAGCTTTTCTTTATATATCCAGAGAAAGTCTAAATAAATTTTAATCTCACAGAATCTGAATTATAGCTTAAAGCAATAATTCAGAGGTGTAAGCATACGATATTAAATTTGAGAAGCAGCACACATATTTAATAGATTGAGTTTCTAGAATACATGGAAATTTAGGATGAAGGTGTGAGAGACAATCATACTAAAATTTTTAAACTGGAGGTAACTGTATAAAGTCCATTTAACAATTCTTTAAACTCTATTAAGGCAAGCAGTCAAACCACCCTCTGTATTATGTTTCAACCCAAGTGGAAGGCCTTGACCTATGCTACGAAAAACCTACCTCCAGGTCACAGTTGACACTCAGATGCTTGCTCCCTAACAAAATCCAGAAGGAAATGGACTGAGGAAGTCCATATCCCAACACAGTGCTTTATAGAGAAGAAGAGGAAAAAATCTTGCCCTCCAGACAGAAGAAATCTCCACAAATCTCTGTTTCTTATGGTTTATTTTCCTCTTAGAAATCCTCTCAGGCTTCTAGCGCCAAACTTTTCTCCAGCCCAAGCCACTAGCAACTTCCTATTGACAGGATCCATCTAATTCAGCTGGAAACTCACGCTGGCTACTCAGCATTCAGAAACCCTGTGGCCAGCAGACACCGACTGTGTACAATGCAGCTCAGTGATAATGTAGAAATGGTTTTGAATGTTTATGGTTGTGTCCCAGAGTTAGAAAAATAAGCTGTATTGTGATCTATTGTGTCAAGAACATATACACAGTCAAGACTATAACTGATAAAAATATAGTTATAAATAGTCCTCTCTCTTCCTACCACTCCATTTCTTTTGTGTTCTGGAAAATACACACACACACACACACACACACACACACACACACACACACACACACACACACACACACAAAGTTCCAGCTCACTCAACTGTTTGCATTAACAGTTTGAATTATTATTTTACTATTATTTAAGTATGTGCTTGGAGGACCAGGTCCCATATCCCAAACATCATGCTATTTAATAGGTTTCTTTAGGAGATGTTATTGATGTTATAATTAAAAAAAAAAAACAAACAACGTTACTTAACATATCTAAGTTAAAAAACCTCCAAAGTCCAGCAAGCAAAGCACGTGTATTGTTGCCTCTCTGATTTGCTACATTTAATCCCTTCATTTAATTTTATAGCTTCTCTCCTCAGGCCCAGGCAGAACATACTTTGGCTTCTAAAAGCAAAGTGGCAATCCAATTGGTCAGATTCACTGCTCTGTAGACTTTTTTTGCTGAAAGGAAATGTTTTAAAATTTTATTTGGTTGGTCCTTTAAACCTTTCCTATATCACAAAGAATGGAAAACTGTGACTTATGTATTCTAGGTAGATTCTGTCAGTTGGTGTGATTTTTCACTTAAATCATTGCTGTTCTTTTAATCAGATGCACACAGTGTACTGCGGTTATCTTCCTGTTGATTCTCAACCACTGTGCTTACGTGATTGTTCTCCTTTCTTCCCTGGCCACAGGAACACGTTGTTTGAATGCACCAATGGTCTCTCTGCTCCCACGCAGATGGCAGTGGGTTGAGCTTACCTTGCAGTTCATCATCCTTACTAACACACTGATGTGTTGGCAGATGAAGGGTGTGATGGAGTTTAATATAAATACGGAAGAATATGACTCATATCTTTAAGAAAGCAAAATTGTATCAGAGGCAATCACCACATGCCATGCTTATCGGTGACATGCGCTGACCATTTGCTGATGTGACTATACCATCTTTCCATAGAAACAGTATTTTGAAATGACTCAGTCAACTTCTGTAAGTTATGAAAAAAAAAAAAAATGAATGAGGTACCCTTTCCAAAAGGGTTCTCTCCTTACTGCTACCAAATTCAGCTAATAGAAATAGCTCTTTGAGTAAGTGCGACTTGCTTACTGTGGAAAACACTTTCCTTGGCAGCAATGGTGAAATGCCCAGTATGAATTATAGGTGGCTACTAAAAGAGAATCAAAAACATCTTATTTTCTCCTTCAAAATCAATAGAGAAATTGCTACTTACTCTAGGCATTCCTGACTCTGTAAAGACAAATGTGGCAGCGCATTTTGTTTCAGAGTTGAGACATTTTCCACTGGCAAAATGCTTTAATCCTTCTCCTTACCCCAAGTAAAATGGTTCTTTTGCATCTCAAAAGCAATATTTTCACAAATAAACAATAAATTGCCTTGGTCATTAATTTTATAAAAACTAATATTGGTAAAAGAGATAAAAAGCATTGCATTCTGGACAGTAACTTTTTTACTTTCTTACTGGAATTAAAAAAAAACCCTTTATTTAGAGTCATACATTCAAAACTCAAAACTGAAATTGTAGATAACATTTTTTTTTAGGTTGTACCAATTCATGCTAGTATTGCTCACATTCTCTGAGAAGTATCCTCCTCACCAGGGTTTTCTCCTGGAATTCTAAGTGTTCCTTTTGCTTTTGTGTCTTGAATCAGCTGCTCTCTAAAAGCCTCCTAGTTGGAGATTTTCCTCTCCATAACCTGCTATCATAATAAAAATTTACCCCATATAGTGGTTTTCATAATTTACTATCAAGCTTATTGAGAATATTTTCATAATTATTATTACTTAATAAAAGTACATTTATGTATGTTTGTGTGTGCAAACCTTAGGCAAAAATGGAACCCCACTGAACCATTCATATTAAAATGAAATTAAATAGGAGCATGTAGGAACACAGAATCATGAAACTTGATCTAGCAGAGATTCACAGATGTTGGAAGAAAACAGCTTTTAATATCTTGAGTTTTACTCTAATTTTTGAATCCTAATAAAGTATTAAAGTGTAGGAATTACACATGATTATTTTACTGGTGACTTCTATAGAGCCAGAAAGAGTTTGTAAAAAAGTCCCGTGTTCAGACTTCTACGAAGTAATAACTGGAGTTAGAGGTAAATATACATTAATGTCACGTTATTGCTTACTATCAATGGGCTTCCCTCACTATACTCCTGAGCATTGTTAATAACTGGAGTTAGAGATAAATATACATTATTGATGTCACGTTATTGCTTACTATCAATGGGCTTCCCTCAATATACTCCTGAGCGTTATTAACTGAAAGAATAATAGAAGCAGTAAAAAATAATATATGAATAACAATAGATTTATTAGTCTTGTACTATACTGCTCTAAGTATACATGAGGAGAAAATGATTGGATTATTAATAGTTTGCAAATTTTCTGCAAATTAAAAAGTATAGACAGATTTATACATTTTAATAATCTTGGGTAAAATGTTTTTGCAGTCTTATACTTGAAAACAATTATAATCTTTATCTTTTGATTTGCCTATTTCACTGATATTAAATAAAAATTAAGCTAAGTATATGGTTAAGGTTAGTGTGCATCCACAGACAATTCATGTGTTCTTAGAAACATGTTTAATTACAACCACTTCAAAAGTAACACAGATTTTCAAAAGTTTATTTTAAGTTTGAAGACTAGACAGAGTCATACTGATTTTACAACATCCTACATGATTTAAGTATATCTACAAAGAAAAAAACAACATTGGGATATCACACAGCTTGAAAGTTTACAAAAGTTATGTGTATCTTAGTTATTTCTGTCCTTACAGACACACCAGATGCCAGCATTCAATGTTATATCTCACAATTTTTTGTCTAGCAAAGATGCAATCATTAATACCTGGTCTTCAAAATTCATACCTATCTTTATGAAGACATTCACAAAGAGAAAGTCAACCCTAAAGTCAGAATTAGTGCCTGTGACAGATGGTTACACTGGAATATACATGAAATGGATATGTTAATAGCTAAGTCATTTGTAATTTCCTAAATCATACAATTAGCTTGTGATAATTATGTAATATAGCAAAGACTGGGTAATTCTTCTGTGTTTCTGTAAAATTTTGCTTGTAAAGAAAATTCAATTAAAACATAATGTTTCAGCTTGAAGCCGTGGATACAACTGACACAAACGCTAAACTTCCCAGTATTGTCGTATTTTCTGTGTAAGCATCCTTTGCTGACAGATGCATGTGCACTGGGCATGCTATGTTGTGAGTAGCACATTGAGCAGAGAGGGTATACAAGCAAGAGCAGACCGTCCACTGACTTTCTAAACAGGAACAAATACCATTAGTACCAAGTCCTTGGGCAAACAAATTTTAAACAGGTATCAATAGAACAAAATTCAAAGTATCACATGAAGTCAAGAATAGTTTTGAAAAAGTATTTCAACACAAAATATTATTTATAATTTCTAGAGTTTAGTATTAAAGATAAAGAATCTGCAAAGAAAAACACCTACAGATTTAGTAGTACCGTTATCCCTGACAGAAACAAGGACCATGAGCTAGTCAGTAAGTGTTGCACTTTTAGGACCTAAGTAATTCTATGTACTGCTATTTTAATTTAAAATACTATTTTAAACATTCTATGTTGATAATTTTAAACATTATTTAGGACAACGGTATTCAGGACATAGCACTTTTGTTTTTGGAAAATGTTGATAAGTATTCAGCATTTTATATACTGAAAATCAACAGGATTATTAACAAACCTGGTATAGAAAGCATGTGGGCATGGGGCAAACATTTGGCCTGACAGCCACCACAGAGCAATGTATTTGCTGTCATTTAAAATGGCAATCTGATTGACTTTCTCTTTCAGTTCTTCACTGTGATTGAAGACCACTCCATAATTACATCATCGAGAGGTGCTGTGATCACATGGACAGACAGAACATGACAAAAGTGGCTTTCCTTATGCAGCACACACAGTAAAGGGAAAAGGAAATAAGACACAGCAGTGTTTGCAGGACTTTAGCATTTCGTGTACATACCACCCTTTCTTTTCCTGAACCCTCCATTTAAAACTCCGATAATTCTATGTCTGGGCCTTATAAAATAAATACTTGTAAAGCTTATAAATTAGATGTGGAGGACATTTATGGAGGCAGCCTGGGCTTTAATTTGAGATATATGTCGATGATGCTGCCATTATCAATAACAAATTATTATGAGAATTGTTTATTTTTTTTCTAGGACGTTTGGAGCAAAAGAAATAGAAATCAATTTTCATCTTGAAAATGGTTTATGACTTTGTCATTAGTAAATGCATTGCTTCTCACCAATAATTATGCAATGTGCTTTCTCGAGAAGCTACCACTGATTTCAAACAGCACTGAAATTTTATTTTCACAGGAAACATGGAAATCTGCAAAGAAATGTTGAGAACACTCGGCCAAGCTGTGCAGCATGAGGCTCATGTACAATATCTTCAATATATAGAGAATGATTCTATTCTTTCAAAGAAATGAAGATTTAAATTCCAGGGTCATGATAGTTTTGTTCTTTTTCACTAAATGATAAGGGAGTCTCAGAAAAGGAAGCCTTAGGGAATGAGATAAGGCTTCCTTCAAACATGAAAATTCAGGTTAAATGTACTCATATTAAATATAGACCCATTTACTGATAACCAATCATGTTCAATGTATATTAATAGATGCTCCATGTACGTGAATAAACACAACATTTCCAGTTAAATACAGGGGGAAATCCAATGCGAAAAAATAATAGCCTATTTATGTCACATATAAATAATATAAACTTGAACATAAAGAACTTCCTTTTTTATTAGAAGTAAAGAAAATAAAAATAGAATTGTTATATTGATTGGTACTGCATATCATATAGTCTTCTCCAAATTACTGTAATAAACACTAACAGTGTTAGGCACAGGGAAACCATCCAGATAATCCAATTCATTACAGGAAAAAACCCTTATTGCTAAAATTGAATGTTTTATAAGTGTTGGTTGAACAGTAACCATGAAATCTCTCCTAACTCTTTCATCTGATAACTATGAGTTTCTTTAACTTTGCTGTAAAAGGAGGCCTTGCTTTGCCTATTATACTCCAGTCAATGGACATAATTTAGAGAACATGGACAGTAATTCACAGAGCGGGTGATGTGACTTAAGAGAGTTGTGCAATAAAAACAAAATTAAGTTATTGAAAAGGCAGGCTTAGACCCCCTTAAAAGACAGTTAGTAGCCTACCATAAATTTGAACACTTTTTCATGAGAAAAAGAGAACCCATTCAGTTTCCATCAGACTTTGCACAGTTCATTTCATGGAGATACTTCTAGGGAAATAAAGAAAAGCATGATGGGATGTGGAGTCCCTTCATTCCTCCTCTGTGCAGCCCAGCAGCTCTGACCGCAGAGTGATCCTTCCATACCAGGACCAAGGGAGGATCCTTATGTGTCGAGCATAAATGGGAGGGTCGATGACGTTTTTCCTGTGAGTGTCGTTGTCAAAATTGCCTTGAAAAACCTAGTAAAGAAGAACAAAGATGATTATTGAGTCCTTTCCCTCTGTAAGATTGTTCATTTTCTTATTTATAGTGCACATTGTACTTAAAATTAGTAACTTTATTTTTATTTTATTTTTTATTTGAGACAGGGTTTCTCTGTGTAGCCTTGGCTGTCCTGGAACTTGCTCTTAGACTACTGAGACACAGAGATCTGCCTCCCTATGCCGCCCAAGTTCTGGGGTTAAAGGCATGTGCTACCACTGCCTGGAACAATTTTATTTTTAAGAATTATATTACTTTATTATTTATTGTGTGGGATGCATAAAGTATGGGTATAATCAAGTGTATGGCTGTTTTTGGATGCATGTGTGTGTGTGTGTGTGTGTGTGTGTGTGTGTGTGTGTATACTCATGTAAAGCAGAAGGCAGTATGGTGGTGATTAATAGAAACAACAGAGGTTGGAGAGATGGAACAGCAGTTAAGAACACTGAATACTCTTCAGGATCTGGGTTTGAGTCCCAGCACCTACATGCTGGCTAACAACCATTTGTAACTACAGGTCCAGAGATCTAACGCCCTCTTCTTCAGGGTTCCACAGGTAACAGACACATATGTGGTGCACAGATACAAATGCATGTAAAAACCCATGCAAATATGATAATAATAATAATAATAATAATAATAATAATAATAATAATAATAGTAATAAGCAATGCATACAGCCTGAGTCCCTGAACCATGGCTAGGGTGAGGGGGAATGAAGTTAACACAGAAACAGGAACAGTGAAGCTGGGATGGAGCAAGGTTCTCTGCCAGGTACCAGTCTAGCACTTCAACTACATTAGCAAGGTTTTCATGTACAGCACAGGAGGGTGAGTTAGCCAGCTTCTGAAAGAGGTGTCTGTACGCAAGCCATCTCAGACTCTAAAGATTCCAGAGGAGGAAGCTCTGGTCTTTGCATGCACTGGTCAGTCTTCCATTGACACTCAGGATCTCACACTCCTTCTTCCAAGGAAAGATTCACAGCCTCTCCTGAACTTGTCTCATGCTAGCCTAGCCAATTATCCCATTGCTTTAGGTCTCGGGAGGTCTTGACCTGGTCATGCCCATATCAAAACACACATTCACTTAGAGCCTCACACTCAGGGCTGCCTCTGCTCTCTCTGCAATAATAAATTTCAGAGAGAAGCAACGGAGACTATTTGGTTGTGTTTTTGCTGGTTCTACTGGAAGATCATTTGCCATGCACGGCAAATATAAAGTGCTGTTGCCATCTGGTAGGGCAATAACTGTTTAATTTGACAGAAAATATATCTTCATAGATTATTTTTGAGTAAATACTTGCTGAATAAAAGGATACAGAGCAATGCTATATCTAGAATCTACCACCCTTGTATATATAATTTGTATTTACTTAGTAGAATTTAAAAAAATTTTTAGTAAGGATTTGGCCTGTACTGACCAGGGAGGAACCCTTTATGGATTCAGATGTGCTACTGACTAGCTGCACTTCTGTTAGCAAAATCTCTCTTGTTCAGAATATGACATGTAAACAAAATTCTTGTGATAAGTTGTCTTGTCAAACAACAGTAGGCAGAAGTATATCCTTTCTTTTTTTTTTTTCCGAGACAGGGTTCCTCTGTGTAGCTTTGCGCCTCTCCTGGAACTCACTTGGTAGCCCAGGTTGGCCTCGAACTCACAGATATCTGCCTGGCTCTGCCTCCCGAGTGCTGAGATTAAAGGCATGCGCCACCACCGCCCGGCAAGGAGTGTATCCTTTCATTTGCTGGCATTTCCTAACATATGCAGCTGGATTCTGTTGACATAAAATTTTACAATTAAATATGAGATCCAACATCCAAGCTATCAGTCTGCTGAAGAACTTAATGTCTTTGTTTGAAATAATTGTGTTTAAATTTATTAATGTGCATTGCAAAATCTGTAATAGTTTAAAATGAAGTGTTATGTTACTTCATGGAAAAGAAATACAGAAAAAGACGATTTCCTTTTAAATTTCTACTCCTTGGTACAGATTTCTATAAGGAGCTGTAAAGCCTCCAAATTATAAATTATTAACTATATTTAGTTTCTTATAAGATGGAATACATCAATCGTGAAACTGATTGCAGCTATGAAATTTCTGATGTAATGTGTAAAAATCACAGATATTTGGACATTCAGTTTAACAGTAAGTGAAGTTTGATAATACAGGATAATCTCTAAAATTTGTGACTATTAGAAAATTGCCACATTTATATTACAATCATCTAAACCTTAGTCAGCTAGTTCTGAAAACACAGGATATTTTTAAAGGCTTCACAGTAAGGATGGCACAGAGCACAAAGCACGCAAAGCGTGAACTGGCTCGTTTTCAGGGGACATCTTGTTCTTGTTGTGCAAACATGTCGCACATGGCCTGTTTCCTGGTCTCTAGCACAGTAGACCTTGCTAAGAATGCAATTTTAATGTTTTATCTGGGAAAGCAAGGCAAACACAACACTTCCGATTGAGTTAATAAAATTTGTGAGATTTCCAGGAATATGTGTTTCAGATACCCACTGTAAGCAGGATCTGAAGAGACTGATTGAAATACGGATTATCCACAAACAAGAGGAAAAAACTTAGATGAGAGAGCTGCAGTGTGATTTGCAAATTTTTGGAAAAACTATGCGCAAGTTTGAGTTAAGTCAGGATGCTAATTGGCTTACCACAGGTTTGCGGTTATCTGGAACAGGACAATGCTTAGGGGATCTCTCAAGCATTTCCTAATATAAGGGACCTCAAGTAAAAGTTACTCAAGGCGCCTTGAACAGGCTTCCATAACTGTAACCTAAGGGAAGTGAAAGGGAGGAAAGGGACAATTCTCTAAGCATGGATGAGTTTCAGAATTTTGTTTTCTATACTAAACTCTTCTGTGATGCTAGTTAAAATTCAAATCAGATTCTGCTGGGGATTCTGCCTCAGAGCAGGCAATAATATCATATAAAATGTGACAATAAAATGCTCCCCCCCCAGCAACAGTTTTTATGTTTTTAAGATGAGATTGTCATTGGTTTCTCCAGACCAATATCTATTAGACAACTGCATACATCAATTGTAAGAAGCCATCAAGCGGTGTGGAGGGAATTGAGAATATTCTTCGTGAGACGGTCAGAAAGTCTGGGTTTACCTCAGTGTTTGTGTGGTTGTTGTTGTTCTGAGACCGGATCTGTGTATGTGACCCTGACTGGTCCTGCCAAAAGCAGTTTTGCCAAGAACTCTCAAGTTCAGGATTACCAGTGTGCAGTACTACTATGTCTGTCATGATATATATTTTTGTGTGTATGTATGTGTGTGTGTATGTGTGTGCGTGTGTCTGTCTGTCTCTGTTTATCTGTCTGCCTGCCTGTCTGTCTGTCTGTCTCTCTGTTTGTCTGTCTGACTCTGTCTGTCTGCCTGTCTCTATATTTGGGGGCAAAGGAGGGGCACGCATATTCATGTGGAGGTCAGAGGACAACCGGTGAAAGCTGGTTCTCTCTTTCCACCATGCCCTTCCTGGGTATGGAATGCAGCTTATCTGGTGGTATGTAGTAAGGGCCCTCAACTGCTGAGCTCCCTCGCTGACCCCGCCTGCACCCTTTCTGTATTTCCCATGAGACTCTGACCTAACTCTGCTACGTTACAGCTTAATAGGGAAGATAGGCATTTAGATAGTTTGAAAGTCCCTACTTCTTAAATTAAGACTTTTTACATCGTCATTTCTCTCCCAACTCCTTCTGTGTCTCCTCCCATAACTTCCTCTCAAATTCATGACCTTTCCTTTAATTATTAGTGATAGATATGCAACACTAAAGGGACTAAGGGCATTTTTTTGTTTTTGTTTTTGTTTTGTGTGTGTGTGTGTGTGTGTGAAAGTTTATAATTTGCTTAGAAATTCTCCTCAACCTATTGATCCAGTGTTTTATTGTCAATGACAGCAGACGTTTGACCAACAAAAGAAAAAAATTCTTTCATATATTCAACAGTAGCATAAACATCTTTAGAAACTGAAATTTAGTGTTTCAAACTTAACACTCCTGGTTCAAAATCTCTGGCATTTCATTATCTCCAGACTGTGTTCATCTGGAGTGCAGATCATAGGTGTGACAATTAACTAACAGACATATCATAATATAAACAAAGGAAAGAATCAGGCACCCCGATATGATATTTTGATCAATGCAAATTTATTATTAGAGAAACCCAACTTTTTCAGATTTTTTCTTGTTTGTAATTTTCCATTGTATTACTTCTAAAAAGGATATCAAACTAAAACCAAACATTTATATTAATATTTATTTTATTCAGTGCTTGGCATTGTAAATGTTTATAATGGGATTTGTAAAAAGTTTTTATCTATTTTAAAAATAATGGAAACTTAATGGACATTAGAATTTAAATATCTGTTTCATAAAGTAACTATGTACATATGAGCATAAAATTTGATTTTTGCATGACCTCTAGTTCACATGCTTGTTGGAGTGAGCTCAAAATCATTAAATTGTTGTTATATGCTTAAGATTATTAATTATATATGGCTGAGCAGTGGTGGTGCACGCCTTTAATCCCAGCACTCGGGAGGCAGAGGCAGGCAGATCTCTGTGAGTTCGAGGCCAGCCTGGGCTACAGAGTGAGTTCCAGGACAGGCTCCAAAGCTACACAGAGCAACCCTGTCTTGAAAAACAAAAAACAAAACAAAAAATTAATTATATACTTAATGTTATATGCTTATATGCTTAATTGTGTGAATATTTTGGTGTTTTTTCAAAAGTTTAGAGTTTCAAACTGAATTAAATCATAGAATTTAAATGTTTTAAAGTCATAAAAATTTCGTAGTAGTAGAGTGTACAAATCAAGTTAAAAGAAAAATTTTTTTAATTAAAATAATGTTTAGTACTGAGATTTCAGTGTCTCTCATTGTAAAACTTATTGACAGTAGTCTAGGAAAATCTATAGTTAATTTAGTTTCTATATTCCTATCATCATATTCTAAAAATTAAAA